TAAATTTTTTGGAAAAAAAAGGGTTTTTTTCCGTTTTAAATAGGGTTTTTTTTGTCACTGAAATATATGATAATGGGTTGTTTTTGTCACTGAAATATAAGATAATGGGTTTTTTTGTCACTGAAATATATGATAATGGGTTGTTTTTGTCACTGAAATATAAGATAATGGGTTTTTTTGTCACTGAAATATACGATAATGGGTTGTTTTTGTCACTGAAATATATGATAATGGGTTGTTTTTGTCACTGAAATATATGATAATGGGTTGTTTTTGTCACTGAAATATAAGATAATGGGTTGTTTTTGTCACTGAAAATATAAGATATGGGTGTTTTTGTCACTGAAATATAAGATACTGGGTTGTTTTTGTCGCTGAAATATATGATATGGGTTGTTTTGTCACTGAAAAATTGATAATGGGTTGTTTTTGTCACTGAAAACTACGATTAAGGGTTGTTTTTGTCACTGAAAATATATGATAATGGGTTGTTTTGTCACTGAAATATACGATAATGGGTTGTTTTTGTCACTGGAAATATATGATAATGGGTTGTTTTTGTCACTGAAAATAATATACGATAATTGGGTTGTTTTGTCACTGAAAATATGATAATGGCTGTTTTTGTCACGAAATATATGATAATGGGTTGTTTTTGTCACGATGAAATATACTGATAATGGGCTGTTTTTGTCACTGAAATATATGATAATGGGTGTTTTTGTCACTGCTATCAAAAATATATGATAATGGCTGTTTTTGTCACTGAAATATATGATAAAGGGTGTTTTTGTCACTGAAATATATGATAATGGGTTGTTTTTGTCACTGAAAATATATGATAAGGGGCTGTTTTGTCACTGAAATATATGATAATGGGTTGTTTTTGTCACTGAAATATATGATAAGGGTTGTTTTGTCACTGATAATATATGATACTGGGGTTGTTTTTGTCACTGAAAATATGATAATGGGCGTTTTTGTGACTGAATATATGATAATGAGGCTGTTTTTGTCACTGAAATATATGATAATGGGTTGTTTTTGTCACTGAAATATAAGATAATGGGTTGTTTTTGTCACTGAAATATATGATAATGGGTTGTTTTGTTACTGAAATATAAGATAATGGGTCGTTTTGTCACTGAAATATAAGAGAATTAGAGGATATAACCAGGTGCTAACACAGTAGAATTTGTCTTTGAGAATGTAAGGAGAGACCTTACGAAACGCAACACTAGGCGTCAGACCCAAATAATAAATAAAAATGAACTTTGGAGACTTAATTTTTCAAATCTTCCTGCTTCAGTGAAGAAAAACATAAGGAATATCGAGAAGCATTGGGTTGGTCTGGGATGCTCCCGAACGCAGGTTCGAATCCTCGTCACGGCCCTTGTGGATTTGTTCATTTAATATCGAGAAATATATATATATATATATATATATATATATATATATATATATATATATATATATATATATATATATATATATATATATATATATATATATATATATATATATATTGCATGCTTTTTGCAACATCTTAGGTGACACACTTGCGAGTATATCACGTCTTGGGTCAGACCACAGACCGACCAACCGACCAAGATGTAAATGCGAAGAAGTCGTGACTGCGATTCGTTTTCTGATCTATTTTTGCTAAATTTGTCGGGTAATGTAGATGTGTGGGAGGGGCGTTGGCTGGTGGTGATCTTGCTTGTGACTCGTTGTTGCAAGCGATTGCAGTCGTGAGTTGCAGGGTTGTGTCTTGGTGGTGAGTTGGGAGAGACCACTATGCAACTGGCTGGCTGGCTGGTTGGCTGGTTGGCTGGCTGGCTGGTTGGCTGGCTGGCTGGCTGGCTGGCTGGCTGGCTGGCTGGCTGGCTGCCTGGCTGGCTGGCTGGCTGGCTGCCTGGCTGGCTGGCTGGCTGGTTTCACCTTGCATGCAAGCGATATCATTCTCAGTGTCTCTCTCTCTCGTCTCATGCTTGTAATGGGATAATTATTGTCTCAAACCCTTCACAGGATGAGCATGGGGGGTTACCTACCACTCACAGGATGAGTATGGGGTCTCATGCCACTCACAGGATGAGTATGGGGTCTCATACCACTCACAGGATGGGTATGGGATCACCTACCACTCACAGGATGAGTATGGAGTCTCCTATCACCCACAGGATGCGTATGGGGTCCACTATCACCCACAGGATGAGTATGGGGTCTCATACCACTCACAGGATGAGTATGGGGTCTCATATCACTCACAGGATGAGTATGGGGTCTCATATCACTCAGAGGATGAGTATGGAGTCTCCTATCACCCACAGGATGCGTATGGGGTCCACTATCACCCACAGGATGAGTATGGGGGTCCACTATCACCCACAGGATGAGTATGGGGTCTCCTATCACCCACAGGATGAGTATGGGGTCCACTATCACCCACAGGATGAGTATGGGATCACCTATCACCCACAGGATGAGTATGGGGTCTCCTATCACTCACAGGATTATGGGGGTGCATAATACTGCTATAAATTTATCATGTCTGTAAATCATGCAATAATGATAAAAAGCAGCCTACCAGTTAATTACAACGAAACATTAATTCATTTAAAAATTAATTTAACCCAACGCTAATAGTCTGTCACTCAGCATATTAATGTTGGGAAATGTACGTAGCCATACAAGCGCCATTAGGAGAAAGGGCCAAGCCATTACGACTATATAGCACTGGGAAGGGGTCAGGATAAGGTTTTGGGATGGGACGGGGGAAAGGAATGGTAACCCTAGGATCATTCCTTCCTAGGTCCGCTCCCTAGGGCCAACTGGACACCACACAGCCTAACTCCCGGGTGAAAGCGTGCCCAAAATGTTCCTGTCCTCGGGAATTGAACCCGGGGTCTCTGGATTATGAGCCGAGGACGTAGACCACTGTGCACCGAGAGGTCTTAATTCCATTCCTCTGTGTATACACACTTAGTCTACTTTGGTTTTGAAATTATATTACGAACTGAAGTATACTTACAGCTTGGTCAGTAAACTAGTTACTAGTTACAGGCTAGTTATAACGCGCCCTGATACAACGTCGCATTTATTACGTATATCCATACCTAATGTCAAAAAAATGTCGCACTAGAAAATGGTATTGGCTTGCGACACTTACATAATGTCCCGTTTTCTGTTTTGGGTCCTCTTAGTAGGTTTAGGAGAAACTACTTTAAATTGATCGTTTTCTTTACGTTTTCAAACCTTAGGATAACGGGTTGGTTGAGATTTTACACTATCATCCAGCATGATAGCTGGAACTCATTAAAATATTAATAAACACTTTATAAAACACTTTTGTGGCGTCAAAAAAATTTATAAAAAATATTCTGGCCAAAAGAAAACGGTGAAGTGTTGCCATCGAGGGTGACTCAAGTAAAAAGACCAATATTTTGACGTCAGGAGTGTAAATTGTAAATATTTCATCGTTCTGATTGGTTAGCTGGATTGTAGCAAGGATTCCAGTGGATCAGATCAATGCGAAGTGGAATACAAACCAATCATGCCGTTGAAAGTAAAGAAGTGGAATACAGTACATATTACAATACATATTTGTTACCACTTATGTACTGTTCGCACACACACACACACACAGGGGGGCCTGGTAGGCCTGGTGGATAGCGCGCAGGACTCGTAATTCTGTGGCGCGGGTTCGATTCCCGCACCAGGCAGAAACAAATGGGCAAAGTTTCTTTCACTCTGAATGCCCCTGTTACCTAGCAGTAAATAGGTACCTGGGAGTTAGTCAGCTGTCACGGGCTGCTTCCTGTGTGTGTATGGGGGAACAAATAAAATTAAAAATTGAATTAGTAGTTAGTAAACAGTTCATTGACAGTCGAGAGGCGGGCCGAATGAGCAGAGCTCAACCCCAGCAAGCACAACTAGGTGAATGCAAATAGGAGAATACACACACATTCTCATTCTCTCTCTCTCTCTCTCCCTCTCTCACTTTCGTGCACCTTAAGCAATTACCCTCAAACTATCAGACTTGCTCCCTGAGGCTTGGCCATTCCTGGTAATCATTTACTTGTGACCGAGACTGGTCAAGAGGTCAGCTTCTCGATTTGGATTTCAAGTCTAAAATTGAAGAAAGTCTCTTGTGTGTCGACTGTTAAGTGACCCCCTTCGTAACCTTCCTTGCAGACATATATATATATATATATATATATATATATATATATATATATATATATATATATATATATATATATATATATATATATATATTTTCCCTGTTTTAGGTAATGTTTTCCAGGACGCATTGGTGGGAGCTTTACACGATTGACGGGGCGAGTAGTGGGGGAATGGGGGGTAGGTTTGGTGGGGGGGGTTAAGAGAGAGGTCAATCGATCGGTTTTAGCTCCAAGATTAAGTATCCAGCTTTGAGCAGACTTGCAGTGCGCGCCTTTCACCGTGGCTGCGTGGTTTGGCTACTGATGGGGTCAACTGGTACTCGTGACTGGAGTCTTTATCTTTTCCCATGGCACAGTTGTACACATACACCCTGTGACCTTTAGGGGTCAACCTGTCCTCCTACTCCATGCGCCTCACGTTTGCACGCCAAATACCCCCCCCCCCCCCCCCACAGAGCGTCATATAATCACGTATTTTCGCGTAATTATACCAGAAAATATAATTTCTCTCACCTCAGACGAGAAACATTGGTAGTCTAGGTACATACACGTCTGGTTATCTTGAGGTTATCTTGAGATGATTTCGGGGCTTTTAGTGTCCCCGCGGCCCGGTCCTCGACCAGGCCTCCACCCCAAGGAAGCAGCCCGTGACAGCTGACTAACACCCAGGTACCTATTTTACTGCTAGGTAACAGGGGCATAGGATGAAAGAAACTCTGCCCATTGTTTCTCGCCGGCGCCTGGGATTGAACCCAGGACCACAGGATCACAAGTCCAGCGTGCTGTCCGCTCGGCCGACCGGCTCCCAAAACTAGTAACCAAATCTCTCGTTGTTTATCGTAATTTGGAGCCCCAGTTAGCTAAGTTTTCCCTTCGAATAATAAAGTGATTACAACGTCACACCTGTCGTAGCTCAGTCGATTAAGGCAGTGTCTGGGATGCTCCCGGACGCAGGTTCGAATCCTCGTCACGGCCCTTGTGGATTTGTTCATTTAAAGTGATTACAAAGCTATAGGTACCTCATCCACGCAGGTCTAATGACTGGACACTCTGTAATGTAGTGTGTGAGGTCATGGCAGTCTGCTTGCTGGCAATGATTGGTCAATGGTTGACCAATTGAAAATATAATTATTTGATTTCTTTTTTGGAAGCACTTCTACCATTTAGGGTTCATTATTTGCAGAACATTTGTGCTGTGTTATCAGTGGTGAGTAGAGTTCATTGTTCACTGAGTAAAGTTCATTGTTCACTGAGTAAAGTTCATTGTTCACTGTAGAGTACAGTGTAGATTGTACAATGTAGATGTACATTGTAGAGTATCCTAAGTAGTTTTAGCTTTATGGTTACTTTACCTTGCGGGTACCTTGCGGGTACCTTGCGGGTACCTTGCATTGATTCCAGGAATCACGGTCCCCGCGGCCCGGTCTCTGACCAGGTCAGAGAATACCTTGAGAGGTTGTCTTGATGATTTCGGGGCTTAATTAGTGTTAATTAATTAGTAATTAAAAACAAGTAATTAGTGTTTTCCGGTAACTTCGTTAAATCAGGTCACAGTCAGGAACGAACCTTGATGATAGTAAGATTAGGACGACGAGGAGGAAGAGAAAGAAGAAAAGGCAAGAAGCGGGAGACGCATAAGGAAGCGCATGAGACAACCTCTGAGCCATACCACCCTTCATGGTAATATTTACACCTCCACTAACCCCGTGATAAACAAACCACACCTTCCCTAAGAGTGATGGTTATATACCCATTTATGTAGAAATAATAATGCAGCATCGCTTTGGTATAGAGCGTTGACCCTGGCTTTTTGCAAGGTCAGAGTTCGATCACCCGATTCTCCAAAGAGGGGTTAAACCACCCCCTCCCTTTCCTCGTGTCCTGGCGCTACGTCCCATCTTCCATGTGCAATATAGGGATAAGTTAGCACTTTCACTTCGTAATTACTTTACGTAAAATTAAAATACGGTTATTTAACTTCCATATTTTACACCCTCTTGTCATGGGTATGGGGTGCATAATAAAGAAAGAAATTGAATTCTTGTTTGTTGCATTGATAAACTCTAATTTATTTTCTCTTCAATAAAGACTAAAGGTTTTAAAAGATTCATGTGGAAAATATACTGCATTTGTATTTTAAATAAAAGATATAGGAGTGAAGTTATATGCTATCGTAGATGAAAAGGCGTTTATATATTTCAACAGCTGGCTTGGTGAACGTTTAGATAGCTGGCTTGGTGAACGTTTAGATAGCTGCCTTGGTGAACGTTTAGATAGCTGGCTTGGTGAACGCTTAGATAGCTGGCTTGGTGAACGCTTAGATAGCTGGCTTGGTGAACGCTTAGATAGCTGGCTTGGTGAACGCTTAGATAGCTGGCTTGGTGAACGCTTAGATAGCTGGCTTGGTGAACGCTTAGATAGCTGGCTTGGTGAACGCTTAGATAGCTGGCTTGGTGAACGTTTAGATAGCTGGCTTGGTGAACGCTTAGATAGCTGATTTGGTGAACGTTTAGATAGCTGCCTTGGTGAACGTTTAGATAGCTGGCTTGGTGAACGTTTAGATAGCTGGCTTGGTGAACGCTTAGATAGCTGGCTTGGTGAACGTTTAGATAGCTGGCTTGGTGAACGCTTAGATAGCTGATTTGGTGAACGTTTAGATAGCTGCCTTGGTGAACGTTTAGACAGCTGGCTTGGTGAACGCTTAGATAGCTGGCTTGGTGAACGCTTAGATAGCTGGCTTGGTGAACGTTTAGATAGCTGGCTTGGTGAACGCTTAGATAGCTGATTTGGTGAACGTTTAGATAGCTGCCTTGGTGAACGTTTAGATAGCTGGCTTGGTGAACGCTTAGATAGCTGGCTTGGTGAACATTTAGATAGCTGGCTTAGTGAACGCTTAGATAGCTGGCTTGGTGAACATTTAGATAGCTGGCTTGGTGAACGCTTAGATAGCTGGCTTGGTGAACATTTAGATAGCTGGCTTGGTGAACGCTTAGATAGCTGGCTTGGTGAACGTTTAGATAGCTGGCTTGGTGAACGCTTAGATAGCTGGCTTGGTGAACGCTTAGATAGCTGGTTTGGTGAACGTTTAGATAGCTGGCTTGGTGAACGTTTAGATAGCTGGCTTGGTGAACGTTTAGATAGCTGGTTTGGTGAACGCTTAGATAGCTGGCTTGGTGAACGTTTAGATAGCTGGTTTGGTGAACGTTCAGATAACTGGCTTGGTGAACGTTTAGATAGCTGGCTTGGTGAACGTTTAGATAGCTGGCTTGGTGAACGCTTAGATAGCTGGTTTGGTGAACGTTCAGATAACTGGCTTGGTGAACGTTTAGATAGCTGGCTTGGTGAACGCTTAGATAGCTGGCTTGGTGAACACTTAGATAACTGGCTTGGTGAATGCTTAGATAGCTGGTTTTGTGAACGTTCAGATAACTGGCTTGGTGAACGTTTAGATAGCTGGCTTGGTGAACGCTTAGATAGCTGGCTTGGTGAACACTTAGCTGACTTGGTGAACGTTTAGATAACTGGTTTGGTGAACGCTTAGATAGCTGGTTTGGTGAACGTTTAGATAGCTGGCTTGGTGAACGTTCAGATAACTGGCTTGGTGAACGTTTAGATAGCTGGCTTGGTGAACGCTTAGATAGCTGGCTTGGTGAACGTTTAGATAGCTGGTTTGGTGAACGTTTAGATAGCTGGCTTGGTGAACGCTTAGATATCTGGCTTGATGAACGTTCAGATAACTGGCTTGGTGAACGTTTAGATAACTGGCTTGGTGAACGTTTAGATAGCTGGCTTAGTGAATGTTTAAATTGCTGGCTTGGTGAAGTAGAAATCGCAAGTGTACTTAGAACCATTGGACACACACAACTCAAACTACCTAACAACCACTTGAAAAGTAAACAAAAGCAGTATTTTATCAGCAGCGAGTCGTATATGTTTCCCCGGTAAGTTCGAACCGATGTAACGGGTAGAGCGTGAGAGATATTATCTTATCTCCTAGGACGGGAGAACATGAGGAGCTCCATATGGCCGCTCAGCTCATTAGTATGCAGGCCGAGTCTCGCGAAACATGGAACAACTTACCTAAAACCCGCCAACTTCTCCAGGTTTGCTTTTCTTTAAAATGACGCGGGATGTGACGTCAGGAAAGTTGGCCAATGCGGGCGAGTGGTGAGCGGCGACGTCATGGCCTAGGCAGCCAATGGCAGGAGTGTGAGGGACTTGAGTTCAGCTGAGCTGGAGGTCCAAAACAAATCGAGCTTCAGTGATACCGTGGAAGTGTAAGAGGAAGGGAGTCGCTGTGTTTGTAGGCTCTCTTGTGTTTTTTTAAGTTTTGCGTTTGTTGATATTGCGGTCGGAATTTTAATGTTTTGACGTGTGATGAAGTGATACTGAAAAAGAGTGATATATGGTGGAATGTAAAAGTAACCTAGAGGATTTAAACGATCCTGTGGATTAATTGGACTTGAACGAGAGGTAAGTTTCAGTAAAGTTTTCGTTGGGTTTAAAGTTTTAACCGGCGTAACTTGAGCACGTGACGGGCGCCCTCTTAAGTTGCGTGACGAGGGACGTGGGTGTGTTGCTTCAGGGAGGTGGTGGGTTGCTTGTAGGAGGCTCCGTGTCTTGCGGGTATCGAACCTGGTGCCCTTGGTGTCGGTGTGATGCTTTCCTTGTTCTCCAGGCTACACAAGACGTTGATGGGTTAATACTGTTTTTTGTGTGTGTTTGTGTGGGGGGTGTGTTTGTAGGTCTGTGTTTGGGGGTGTGTGTTTGTGTGGGGTGTGTGTTTGTGAGGGGTGTGTGTTTGTGTGGGGTGTGTGTTTGTGAGGGGTGTGTGTTTGTGAGGGGTGTATGTTTGTGAGGGGTGTGTGTTTGTGAGGGGTGTGTGTTTGTGAGGGGTGTGTGTTTGTGAGGGGTGTGTGTTTGTGAGGGGTGTGTGTTTGTGTGGGGTGTGTGTTTGTGTGGGGTGTGTGTTTGTGAGGGGTGTGTGTTTGTGAGGGGTGTGTGTTTGTGAGGGGTGTGTGTTTGTGAGGGGTGTGTGTTTGTGAGGGGTGTGTGTTTGTGAGGGGTGTGTGTTTGTGTGGGGGTGTGTGTTTGTGAGGGGTGTGTGTTTGTGAGGGGTGTGTGTTGTGAGGGGTGTGTACTTGAGGGGTGTGTGTTTGTGAGGGGTGTGTACTTGTGAGGGGTGTGTGTTTGTGAGGGGGTGTGTACTTGTGAGGGGTGTGTGTTTGTGAGGGGTGTGTGTTTGTGAGGGGTGTGTGTTTGTGAGGGGTGTGTGTTTGTGAGGGGTGTGTGTTTGTGAGGGGTGTGTGTTTGTGAGGGGTGTGTGTTTGTGAGGGGTGTGTGTTTGTGAGGGGTGTGTGTTTGTGTGGGGTGTGTTTGTGTTGTGTGTGTGGTGGGGGGGGGGGGTGTGCCATGTGTACTCGCCTAGTTGTGTTTGGGGGGGGGGCGGTTGAGCTTTGGCTCTTTGGTCCCGCCTCTCGACTGTCAATCAGTCAACTGTTGCCAGCTACTGAGTGTTTGTATTTAGGTGTGTTAACGTTTGTTTGCGTTTGTTTGAGTGTTTTTTCGTGCGTATGAGAGGGGACGCTGTTTCTTGTAAGGTCTTATTAACTTGGTAATCGCTGCTCAAATTTTCCTATAATATAATTTAATATATTTATCAATGAATAAGATATCCAATGATATCAGGAAAACCAATGTGAGGAAAACAATTAAACCGGGTTTAAACCCATGTTATCGTGGCCTTCATGACTCTGGTTATCCTATTGATTTCCGAGACTGCTTTCACACCGTTAACTAATCCTAGTAAGGTCTGACGTACGTGTTGGTTTAATAATGTCCTTTACCTGGTAAATAATTCAGGTAGTGGAGGCGGTGTACGATATCGGGGTTGGGGTGGGGGGGGGGGTGTTCGGCTTAGTGCCATGGTGGGGGGGGGGTGTTCGGCTTAGTGCCACGAGGGGGGGGGGGGAGGGGGGTGTTGGCACCAGTGGGTCAGGCAGTAATACATGTGCTATTGTCCTTTGTAAAATATAGCCCTGTGACGCCCCTGGCATATTATGTTATATATATATCATTATTGATCTGGTTTGGTAGACTTGATGTGTATATATATTTTTTGAGTTGTAAATAGTACTTGATTTTATGTTTGCCATTTGTTTAGTTCAGAGATAATGTTTTTCTGTATGTGGTCAACATTTTGAATATATTTTACCGTGAACAAATCCACAAGGGCGAGGATTCGAACCTGCGTCCGGGAGCATGTAATATTTTACCATGGCACAAAATTAATGCACTATTTTGCTCTATGTTGCTTGATGAATTACTCGAAAGCTTTCAAAGAGGAGAATTTACTAAAGGGCTTGGGGGTTAAATTACAAGGCTTATATATGATGCCGTGACTGACTAATGCTACTGCGTAACTGTAATTTGTATATGACTGAGGTTCGTGAACCTTATTAAAAAATGCAGCGTGTGTCTCGGTCCGTCAGTCCATTCCCGAATTTATTTCCAAAATATTTAGCGTAAGTTTGACTGTTTAAGGAGGCCGTTTTCTCTTTATATCGTGATAGATTTTGATAGATTTGTGTCATTTTCATATACTAAGGTTGGCCAGCCTCTGCTATGTACTGAATTGGACCATGCAGGACATAGCATCGAATTGATATGCAATCAGGCATGAGTTTCCACATTATAAACTAACGAAAGGGAAAGGAGCCACTATAATTTAATACATTACCTGTCCTTGCAACAGGATTTGTCATTGTAAACTCGTAAAATAACTTGCAAATATAAACACCCTCAGATTTGCAATAAATTGCTAACTTGGAATTAAATGGGGGAAATCAGGGCACGATATTATGTTCACTTTTTGTACGAAGGTCCGATAACCTTTTTCAGGCCGAAAAGATCAAGCGTGTTGCTCTATCTTGATAAACTGAATGTAGTGGATATCTGTGCACGCGAGGGGCCTCAGACGTGATGTGGGCCACCGGACCGTGTGCTTACTAGGTGAGCTGCTTGCTCTACGGTGTCATGCTATTGTTATCTTAGATCCAGCTACTGGGAACGAAAAGTTCCAAGTAGCACGGGCTATGGTGATCCCGTAGTGGACTTATTTGGCACAGGAGCGGAGCTGTAACTGGGTGTTATGTTGTTGTAGTTTTCGTGTAGGGAAGGGGGAGAGGGTTAGGTCAGATTAATTTTTTTTATGATAGAACTAGACATAATATTGCCTGTACGTGTGTACAATACTTAGGGCCTGTCTGGAGGCGCAGACATAAGACATTGTAGTTATTGTTAATGGAGTATTTGGCAAGTCTGAGACTGGCCAGACATAGGCGACTACTGTAGTTTTAAAAGCACTACAGTCACCTTCTGTGGTTGATTGTTCAATAAATCACTGAACTAAATGTGTAACAGATCTCTAACCCTGTCCATGGAGGACAAAAGAATATATATATATATGTATATATATATATATATATATATATATATATGTATATATATATATATATATATATATATATATATATATATAATTATATATATATATAAATAAATATATATAAATAAATATATAAATAAATATATATAAATAAATATATATAAATAAATATATAAATAAATATATAAATAAATATATATATATATATATATATATATATATATATATATATATATATATATATATATATATAAATATATATATATATTACAATTTATTTATTTCTAGTTAGCATTGTAAATGTGGCCACGTCTGTGGTAGAAAAAATAATAAAAGCTGTATATCCTGTGGGTGTACAACGTTAAGGGCTCATAATTAAAATTTGTCAATAAAGATGTTAATAATAAAGTAATAATGGTCTGGGAATCTGAACCCACCACTTGTATTCTATGACTCTTACATGTTTTGATTAAGTATGAAAAAGTTTTGATTGTTTTAAGAAGTATTTATTTTTTATTTTTTCCCGTAAACTGTAATTCTCATGACATTTATTTCGTATATATTCAGTATATAATTAGCTTGTGTGTGGGGGGGGGGGAATTAGATTTAAATGGCATTAGTTGAAGATGGATTTTTATTCCAAATTTATATATTTAACCTTGTTGCTATGTGATAGTGTATTGTACGGATTTGTAACTTGATTTAACCCATGGGGGGCCATTAAACAAAATTTAAATATAGATGACGGCTCGGATAATCTAGTTTGCATTGCATATTTGGTCAAAGCTGGTTAATGTTAAAAGTATGAATTGCACAATTTTAATGTTTTATTGTAGAATTCAATGACACGAAGGGTGAGGTGGGTCGCTTACCTTGCAGTCACGACAAGCCTTACTTGACTGAGAGCTGATTGTTGTTATAGATTCAATTCCAAGTAGCACGGGCTATGGTGAGCCCGTAGTGGACTTACCTGGCACAGGAGCGGGGCAAGTAGCACGGGCTATGGTGAGCCCGTAGTGGACTTACCTGGCACAGGAGCGGGGCAAGTAGCACGGGCTATGGTGACCCCG